AGTGGTATTTCCAGGTGGCTAGCACCTTAAAGGGGCAAGCTGATCACTCTTTACAATATTAATATTATTAGAAACATAAATATATTTCCTTTATATTCATCAAGTGAAATGCTCTTTCTAAGACAGCGGTAATACCCAATAATTTAAAAGAAGAATTTCATCCAATCTCTCTCTCTCATGTAATTCAGTCACAGCTACTTTATGTAGGTTATTTCATTGCATTCATTATATCGGTCCAGAATGTCTTCTTTTTGTTTACTCTTGCTCCAATGTATTGCTACAGTCACAAACCCGACTAATAGCTAAGTTCTTTCTCTTTCTATGTCATGAATTAAAACAATGAACCAAGGTTATTCAAAGGCAATGCTTAATTCCCCGTCATCAATTAGGGATAGACTGTAAAGCTGTCCCTGTAGCATCCTGAAACCAATAGACAAACTCAAATATCTTAGCCTAGCCACAAATGACCTCTTAGGACTCCCCACTTAAGGGGCTTTTTTTGTGTAGTTGTTTACTACTTTCATATCACAATCTAGTCCAACATTTACCTGTAGCATTGAGACTTGATCAAGAAGAAATATATAGTTTGATTCTTTCTGCTCTGAAAATCTGAGAATCTCCAAAATATAAGTTTGTTTCTAAAACCATAAACGGTACAGCTGCAACTAGGCTATCACAGGTATAGCCAGTTCTCTCAGCATCCAGGGCAAAAATGGTGGGGAGTGCTGGGAGGATAAGTATACTGACCAGTAAAAGTGAAGGAAGAGGGGAGAGGGTCTTACCTGCCCAGCTCTGTTCATTCCAGCAGCAGCTGCTATTGCTGTGGCTGTTTTTACAGTAGCAGGGGATTAAGCTGCTATCACTGGGAGACAAGCAGTGGTACGGCTTCCCATGCGCCATTCCTGATGCCCTGTTTGTTTCTCTTCTGCCCCCTTTCCTGTGGCAAAGCTTCCTTGGGAGGTAGGGAGGAGCTCCCACAAACACACTATTGGGTCTGCCCAGCTCCTAAGGATGAGATGGGGCTACCCCTACAGTGGTCGAGACTCCTAAGGTAAAAGGGACCTTCTTTAGGTTGGCACCTGAGACTGGTGCCTTGTTTTCCCTGGCCTCAGCTATGCTACTGCTATTTATAGCAGTGGCCATAATGCTTATTTGTAGCATAAGCCACAATACATGACTTGAGTGACGCCAATAAGGAAAAATCCTGAATTTTGGAAAATGGACATTTTTTTTTAAATCCTGTAAGAAATCAGAATTATTTAGTTAAAGATGGGTGACTTTTCACTGATAAGTAATCCTATTTTTGGCATAAGATTTCCAGTTGAAAATATGGTTTTGAACCAAAATGTTGTACCGTTTTCTTTCAAAATTTCCCTCTTCAAAATGTTACCTAGATCTTCAAACTTGATTTTACAATGGGAGGCTGCTGGAGCCAACGCAGCATTGGCCCCAGCATCCCCTACCCCACCCAGTAACTTGCCATGCACCAGAGCACTTGTGGCCTGGGCATTCCCCAGGAACAACTTGCAGTGGCACAAGGTGCACAACTGCTACCTGCTTCCAAGGAACCAAACATCCACGCACATCTGAACATGGCCACTAAGTTCAGATTCTGATACTATTTACATTGTTATGAATGAGTAATGATTCTTCTTATTTCATGAAGTGACTCCACATTTATGTAGCCATAAATGAGAAGAATTGAGCTTTGAGTTCTGGTCCTGGCATAGTGCTGGAGTCAGATCAAGACACTGGTGCGATGTGGGCACTGAAACTGACAGTCAGCTCAGTCCCAGCCTTTGCACAATGGAGCCAATACAAGACTCCTGAGCAGTGGCAGGGCTGGGACCAATATTCATCTGATTGTTGGTCCCAATCCCAGGACTGCATGGTTGTCTTGAACCCACCCCAGTCCAATGCTAACTTATACCAGTGTATCTTTCATTTTCAGCAAGAACAAGTGCCTTTGGCAGTGGAAAAGAAATACTTTGTTTAGACATATTCAAGTCCTAAAATCTGAAACTGCATACGGAGCATGCACAATCGACTGTGTCTAGCAGCCACTTCTTGAGGCAGGGTTGCTCATGGATTCTATTCATAACTGCTGGAAAGAAGGCAGGGCATGGTAGCACCCTAGAGACTAACCCCCTCAGAAAGGTATAAGATTTCCTGGGTGACAGCCTACTTTATCAGATGCATCTAGACATCTAACTGCATTGCTTTTGGTCTCTCCAATTTACATTCACCTCCCTCATTTGTACCCTGCCTCCTTTCTTCCCTTTTCCCTATTCTTTGTAGTTAAACGACTGTATACCCTTCTATTTAGTTGTCACATTCTCTGCAAGTCCACTTAGCATCTGACAGAGTAGGCTGTGTGGCAGGGGACCCCACCCCTGTAGCTGGGGGAGTGAGCAGAGTGGAGTCAGGGCTGGTGGGGTGAGTGCTGTTTGCAGAGGTCCTGCCTGTGAAAGGAACTAGATACAGATGGTATGGGTAGATGGGTTGCAGGACCCAGCCTGCATACTGCAGGCAGCTGGGCTGCCACACAGGGAGTTCGCAGCATCTGAGCCCTGTTAACTGAAAGTCAAGTTAAATGATCAACAGGAGAGAGCCTGACCTGCACGTATAGGCTTGGCTCTGGCCATGGCTGTGGGGGAGGTTGGAGCTCTTTGTCAAGATGTGACGAACTCAAGCCCACCAGGAAAAGAGGAACCTCTGCCTGCTGGTGAGAGCACGTGGAAGGATGAAGATCTGAGTTGAAGATTGCTTGTGTTTGCCCAGAGGGGTGGAGATTTTTGTTGAGGGCTATTTATGTTAACCCAGTAGGGTTCTGTTCTCTATTAGTGATTTAGTTCTGACTACTGGAGGACTGGGAGTGGCTGTAAGAGGTGGTCAGGAGGCCACATAGCAGTGTTCCATATGACGTGATCTTTTTCTTTTTGTTTTTTCTCTACAGAAATGAGCCTGAGTGGAGAGGGGCTGAAGGCACAGGGCCAAGGCCTAAATATGAGAAAGAGGAGACCACAAAGCTAAGGCACAAAAAGACCTGGTTGAGGCTAGGACCAGGAAGCCCAGTAAACAGAGACTGAGTAAAATCTGCAAGGAATAAGTGTGGCTAAGGGGATGGCTAGAGGCCACAGTTCTTGCCCACAAGGTGAGTAGGGCCTGTATGGTTTAAAACCACTAAAGTGAAAGCTCTAAAGATGGCACCAGAGACTTAGCACTGGACTCTGCTTTTTCTGACACCAGGAAACCTCCCCAAGATACTTTACTTCCATCAAGTGTGGCAGGCCAGTGTAAAGAGGGAGAGGACTGTAGGGGGGCCGGGGAAGCGCAGACCTCACTGACAGGCATGGTCCATGATGCATCTTTCTGGGTTGGTCCTGTCACCAGCTTGCACCTACAAAACTAATGACTCTCTAAAAAAGTTAGTTTATAAGGTGTCATCTGCCCTGCCTTCTGTCTAACTCCATTGGCTTGTATTCAATGGTGGGTCTACACAAGATGCTAACGATGCAGTAGACTAATTCTACTGTGCATTGCTGCAGCACAAAAAACCTGTGCTGATGCACAGTAGAATTACTCTACTGCATATTAGCGTCACTTAAAAAGCGTGTGTTGATGCTAATGCGCAGTAGTGCCTATTTACAGCACATTAAGTTAGTACCTATGATTACAGGTACTAAACTTAATGTGCCATAATTATGGTGCATTAATGAACATGTAGATGTGCCCAATGAGTCACTTAACTTCTGTATGTTGTATTTCCTTTATGTGTAAAATGGACATTATTCTTAAGGGGTTGTGCTAAATTCCTCAAGATCTTACATAATATGCCTTTATTAAAACGTGTTTCCTGGAGTAAGGGCCTTAACAATTAGTCCTAATTCACTAATAATGAATACAGGTATACAAGTAGAACAAAATTTATTATTAGCCTTAGCCTTGAATTCACTGAACTTTCCCTTACGAGTGTCAGCTCTTCATTATCATTCTCCACTCCTACTACCAGTCTACCAGTGCTATTTTCATACTCTGGGATCTGGCTTCACACTTAATAATGCCCTAAAGATTAAATACTTATTTTTCTTCTAATAACACATAAAAGAGGTGGAGATAAAATAGCAACAGTAATCATATTTTTACATTGAAAATATGAATGTATTTTTCCTTGGGGATTTACCCAATTATTCTGGATCAGACCACTGGCCTATCTAGTTCAGTATCCTGGCACTAATAAGGACCAGCTCCAGATGCTTCAGAGGAGGATGAAGAAAATCCCATAATAAATTACCCTGTAATGTATAGTCTGCCCCTGTTTCTCACTGTGTAAGTGAAAGAAGAATCAGGTCACATGTTTGCAATGCATGCTAATCTGTGACTGAATATGATTGGAAAAAGAAGGAATTAAGGTCACAGGTTTTTCTTTTAATTTTTATGTAGCTATAGATACAGATATAGCTATATGCAGCATGATTTTCTAAAGATCAAAAATCAACTGTCCAATATTGTTTGTTAAATATTCTGGGAACTACTATATATTTACAGCCCTGAAAATTTACAAAAAGCATACTGAGTCATACCACCAACTTTATTTTTATACACTGAAATGGGGATTGCTACTTGAAACACACACACACACACACACACACACACACACACACACAGATATAATGCAAAGGAGCACACTGAAGACCATGTAGGAAAAAATGTATACATATTCTGTAGGGGGAGAAAGGTAACTGTAAATATTTCAGCACTATTGTAAGTGTAAGAAGATGCTCTAATACAGAGTTTTTACCTGGCTGGCAACAGCTCTTCTCATTTTATATTGATTTGTCCACTTGATTCATAAATAAGAACCCCCTTCAGGGAGAGGGTTACTGAAAGTTAGGATGACTATACACATTTAATCAATGCTCTCTCTGTCCCTTTTTACATCTCTTGTTTCCAATTTTTCCTTCTTGGTATGTCTCATGCAACCTTATATACAGACCTACCTTAACAAATCAGATCTGATCTTCAAGATCTAGGGAAGAGCTGCTTAATAAGGGGATGATTTCTTGGGATGAAGAGGACATCAACACCTGCAAAGAAAAAAAGCACATACTGCAAGCTTGTACATGGCGATTTTACAAAAATACAGGAAAACACAGCACACAAGCCAAAGTCTGGGTATGGTCCAGATGAGTATTGTGGGAAATCAGATATCCCACTCTACAAGCTGGAATTGTTTCATTACATGTCATGCCTTCCATTTCATTCTCTCCTTTCTTCTCCACTAATTTAGGTTGAAATTGAGTTTCCTCACTATTGCCTATGATTTCCACTCCATTGCTTCACGGGTGTGGAATTCCTTTTACAATGCTGATAAATATAGCTGCCATGCAGCAGATGACAGTGTATTGGCAAGTACCAGAGTGTACAATACTAATAGTTTTGGACAGCAGGTAGGGATTCTACTGGAAGGGAAAGTGTCTCTTTTGCTTTCAGAAGAACAAATACATTGGCCAACATTTTCAAAGGTAACTAGTGCAATTTGAGACATTCTCAGGATGCCCTGAGTTTCACAAGGATTTGCAGCATTTCTGCAAGCCTGTCTCATTGAAAGTGAGCTGCTTGGGAAAGAAAAAAAGTCAGGAATCAGTAATCCTCTTTTGATAACTAGGCCAAAACTTGTTGAGCAGGTTATGCCACATAGGCCAAGAAGTTGAAATTATACTTCTTTATCCGTGAAATGCATAAAGTAACCAGTCTATTAGAATTTCTATACTACTTCAGGAAAGACACAGAGTGACAAAAACAACATTTTGCAAACAAGTCTCCTTTTCCATTAAAAGGCCCTATTTCCCATAAAGCTTAAAGTTGTAGATTTGTGCCTAATATGAATTAAAATGCCTAAGTGATTTAGATACTAAACTTCCATTGACTTTTGTGTCTTAAATACTGTCAAATGGGAACACTTATTTTTTGGTTTGTAACACACTATGCTGAATGTGCAAGCTTCTGGGGATTCCCCAAGCCTAGCCTAGGGTTTCTGACAGGTAGTCTTTCAGGATAAATTAATGAAGTGGCTTCCCCCTCTTTCTTCACTACCCTTCAAAGGAATTGACTTACTTCTCATTTCTATGAGCAGAAGGGAATTAGTGGGTTGTCCACAAGAAGTGGAAGGCAGTGTGCAAATTCAGTATTAGGCTTAGTGAGTATAATCCAGTATTTAAACTTGCTGGTCAGCAAAATAACTTGGTATGGCAGGTGTATGCTGTGCAAAGAGACAGTGGTTTTGACAGTTCACTACAAGATGCAACTTTACTTCAAACAACATTGTAGCTATTTTAGGATGAAGAGAACATAAGATTTCAAGCACCCTCTCTCCTGCTTCTAAAAGCTCCAAACACCTGGTTCATTATGCATCCCAAATGCAATGAACTATCATACATTTTGCATTTGTTCTGGAATACATTATTCTCTTCTGTACCCTCCCCTACCTTTGAGGCCTGATTCTGCAAGAGGCTGAAATCGAATAATTCACTGCAATAGGATGGTTAGTCTGGGGAAGTGCTTAGACTATAAACTATATCATGGCAAGTATTCCATGCTTTGATTGAATGTGAAGAAGTGTATAAATATATTTTAGCCCATTGTCACACAACAGTGTGGGCGTAGAAGAGTTAGTTAGGCAAGGAGCTGGGAGCAAGAGAGAAGCTCTGACTAGCTGGAGCTATGACAAATTATTATTCATTGCATGGTGTGTCACTCAGGCTGACTGTCATATGGCACAGTACAGAATACGCACAAACTTAAACAATGAACAGCACCAAAGCGAGAGCAAGGGACAGGTCCTGGGGGTCAGTACTTCTGCCACTCTTCAAGCCTCATATTTTCTGCTGTTTGTCATGCATCTAGCAATGTGAGCCAGGAGAATTATACTCTGGTTAACAACAACCAGTGAAATAAATTCATTCATTACACATCAAGATTGGTTCATGAAGGCTTCATAAAGAGACAAGGCATTAGCATTCATCATGCTTAGTATTCACTGGAATATTATTCAGCCAGGTAAGACAGTGACCACAGTGAGTAGGGGAGTCAACCAAAATCAGGAAAACTAAATGAAATGAAGAGGTTACAAGAGGAGACATGAATAACAGGACCAAGGGAGGCATAAATGCAGGAATTTAAATACCCAGAATGAATACAGGGAAGTGAAGTGAGACAAGAGAACAGAGACAACTAATAAAATCAGGTTAGAAGGACATAATGGCCAGCTGGAGGGAGAAAGTAGATGTAAATAAAAAAAATGAAAAAAGTCCTGGAAGGGACTGAAAGGCAGGGGAAGTCCCAAACCAGTGCACAGATTATTGCGATCTAAAAATGAGAGGAGAGATTAGTAAATGAGAGGAATAGACAGATACAAAAGCCAAATGTGGAGAGGCTCTGTTCACAGAGAGATAAGGTGGTCCTACATCAGGGTGAGTTTGCTAGGGATAAAACAGGCAGAAGGCAGGGCAGGGTTATTAGAGACTAACTGGTTTAGAGAGGCACTTGTTTTTACAGGCTGTGCACAAGCATTCAGCTTTTACCAGAAAAAAATTCTGTTCTTACAGTAGAAACCAAAAATGTGCAAATATTTAAGATTTTTTTTTCCTTGAGCAAAAATGGCAGCTCAAAGAGAAAAATAACTTGACAACCACCAGGTAGAAATCACTTCTGGGAGTTTCTCCTGGGAGACTGAACATGGGAGATTGAACATCTGCATACTTTCTCCCAGATAAAGTCCTCCTGGGAACCAGGAACAGTGAATCTGGGAGAAAGACTGTTTTGCCAGAGATTGGGTCATCCCCATCTGAAGAAGGCATGGGGGCAGGTACTCCAGCCTGTCCCATAGACTAAGAAGGGAGGGCTGTAGCAGCCATTAACTTTCTCTTACCTGCTTCTCTCAGAGAGTTTCCAGTGGAAACTTCCAGGGGAAGTTGGTATGGTATATGTAATGTACCTTTAAGGGGCCAGCACTGGGACAATCCAGTCTCTCCCCCTGATGTCCTGTGGGTGTGGTTTTCTTGGTGGTGGGTTGTTGTCATCGGTGACTGATGCCACCTTAGTCAGGGGGAGCATATGCCCCCCCCCCGCAGGGACCAGTCAGCAACTGGGGGGGGAGTCCCCCTGAAGCCAATCCCACCGACCAGGGAGGGTCCCCCCACAGCTGATCGTGATGTGGCTGATTGCTGCATCCACTTCTGGGAGAGTCATGGCACTCCCACTCTATGGCTGGTGCTTGCAGGGGGGCACTGGCACTCCCGCCTGCCCACCCTGCCCGTCACCTAAGTGGCGAGCACAGCCAGTCAGGGGGTGCACCAGTACTCTCAGGGGGGTGATGTGCACCCCTGTGCACCCCCTACATTTCACTACTGGGTGTCGTTGTTCTCCCTGCAACCTATGAGCATGTAAGCTTCTGAATCCTGTTCCTAATAAAGATAAATCTGTTCACTACTCCACCGGTCTCTGCTGAATAGTGATTCAAGGATAGAACTCCAAAGGTACGGAGGTCTGAATGAGTACCCCATCCCTGGAACCCCATGGCATAGAGTAAACATTATAGCTGGCTGGACCAGGAATCAGGCTCAGGGAAACTTTAACATGTCAGGTCATGGGAGGCCAGGTCTGAGGCCACTTGGAGATCAAGGTACCAACTAGGGTCAGGAAGAGTGAATAGAATCCAGGGACAAGCTGGATCAGGGAGTCAGAAGGTCAAGGAAGAAGCTGAATTGAGAAGATGAGAGATTAGGCAGAAAATGAAGTAAAAAAGCAAGCCAGGTCAAGAAGCCAAGAAATCAATAGGTCAAGTGATCTAGCAGAGAGCAGAGTCAAAGCACAAACAAGAGGGGGAAGCAATGTATCAGGTTGAGTCCTGTTGCTCAGCCACTACCTGTTTCTGTGCAGGAGTTTATATGGGGCGGGGGGAGGAATAGGTACTTTGGTGGGGTCCTGAAGTGGGAAGAGAGTTAGGCCATGATAGAGGCTTTAGGCTATACTGACTCAGTCTGGGCAAACAGCCATAGGGTGCCAGGCCAGGATGGGGAGCTGTGTTGACCAGACTGAGGCCCCAGATTTGGGGTTGCCGTCTGAAAGGCTCTCCCCAGAGTAGCAGAGCAAAGCTCCTGCTCACTCCTCACACCAGAGTATGAAAGTGTGGAGTTTGTGTGGTTTTTGCTAGGGGGTTCACTCTGCTTGGCCCCCAGGCACTGAAAGCCAAGAGGAGAGAGTAGTGCTGTAATTACCCTTCCCAATTTTCATGCTGCAATCCCTAAATCATCCCAGTCTGTATAAAGCTAAAGGAATAGGAGAAGAGGGTATGGTTGCTAACTGATTGTCTGTATTGCTTCCTCTCCCAGAAAATTTCCGCTGCTAGAAATGAACATTTGTACACAGCCATAGGCAACAGTATATTTTGTCAGATACTAGAGAACTTTTTTCTCTCTCCCATTGGCTGTAAACTCCTTTAACCCTGATTTTGGGCATAGAATCTGAAGTAGACTTTTGCCTATGAAAGCTTATGCTCCCCTGAATCTGTTAGGCTATAAGGTGCCACCCTCTCCTGCCTTCTGCCTGATTTCAGGCTAACATAACTAATTACATCTCTCTAGGGATGAAACAGGAATTCCCAAGATTTATTGTACTCATTTCATGCTTACAATTTTCCAACAGACAATACAACAAGACAACTTCAAGATTTAAGCTAATAATTAATTATGGAAGAACTCAGCCTTAAATACTAATAATTATATGGTTATGGTTGCTTGCCAATTTGGAAACAAGTCTCAATACAACCTCTGCTAAATTAAGATTTTTTACTACCTCTTTTTTAATGACATAATTTTAGTGAAGGTGAAATGCACAGGTTTTCTAGCTTTGGGGACTCAGCTACAGCTGTACAAATTTCCAACCTACACGTGCTAACTTTAAACTTTTCCTCTTAATTTACATGGAGACAGAGCTAAGAGAATCATCCATAATAAATCCTTCTATTAGGTGAACTTAGTCTGTTTAGACATTCTTGAACCAGAAAATTCAGGTTTCTAGTACAAGT